GAAGGGAGTTCCAGTGCTTACTAATAACCCAAGCTGCAGTTTATGCCGCAAAGCATTGTTAAATTCTCCCTTTTCCTCATGCACTGGAATCTAATCCATTTGTGAAAGCTGTAAATTTTATCTACAAATACATCTTGAGAGAACATGAAAGTTCTACAGCTTCCATTGCTAAATGCTTACCCATTCACAGACATTTAACACCAAAATTACTTTGGAATTTTTCTAAATGGTCTGTCTTACACTTTCGCCCTTTTGCCTCCATTCTCTATTTGGTAGTCAGAATGATTCCTTAAAATGTTTAAATCATAGAAGAGAACATGATTGTAGTCATAGAAACATTTGTCAAAACTTCTTGAATTTAACTTTTAAAATGGATGATTTTATTGTGTGTAAAATAACCTCAATACACATGATTTAAATACATGAGTCAATAAAATATCATTATCCCGTGTTTATAACCCTTGAAGGACCTCTCATTTTAGGTGGGTCAAATCCAAAATGTTTGCCCTAACCTTTGGAGTATACCTGCTCTGTATTTCCATATTAGCATTCATAGCTGTGCTCCCCACAGAGGTCTTTCCTGGCCACTCATCTGCTTAACACTTCTACTCTCCTTCCTCAGGGAATCGTTAGTTACCAGTGTGCTTATCACTGTCCTGTTTATTCACTTGCATCCTCCTTTGTTATCTTTCCTTCAAAAGAAAACAAATTTCTCCACTGCTCTTTGTTTTGGTGACTACTACTGTATCTGTATAACTTAGAAGAGTTTGCAGTACATGGTAGCTGTTGAGTAAGAATTTCTTGGGGGAAAAAATATGACTCATGGGAATGGAGCAGGGTAAAGGGGCCTTTCCCCAAGGAATAAAATTATTATGCACATCTGCTTTGTCTAGGAAGCAAATATTAGTTCTTTCTGCTTTTGGAAAACTCAGACCAGCTTCATCCTCGCCCAAGAGAAAGCGAATGAAGAACTGAATATATCTTAGACAAAGGAAAATTATATTTTACATTAAATTTAATTGCCTCAATATACATATGTTTATAAAATATTTTTGAACAATTTAATAAAGGATATTACATGTTTGTATGGATAGCTTTATTTTTCGAATGTTTGGTTAAATTTGATCATGAATCATTTCCTAGGACACATATATTATACTACTAAGTTTATGCATTACCCTAGCGATCTCTAACAAGGACAGTGTTTCCTCTTCTGCTCAGATAACTGTTCTTAATACACTGGAAGAATAGAGCTAGGAGTTAATTTTAATAATTCAGGTTGCATATATTCTGACACATTATAAATTCATGAGACAGCCACATGAATGTCCTAAGTATTTTTTAGATGACTTTCACTTTAATCTGGTGTGTTTATGATGGGCTTGGACTGATAACTTGAGCTGTGCATTGCTGAAAGGTTAGAAATCCCTTTAAATATGTCCTTGGTTGAGATATTTTTGAGATTAATGGATAAGAACATTATAATATTGTATTTGAGGATTGTGAGCATCTTGTTCACTGGAAAAAATTAAAAATATTTAAAGGTCAAATTTGGTATTGAAGAGCTTTTTTAAAGATGACTAACAAACGTCTGTTTTATAAATTAATAATAAAATAGCAAAATAGGAAGATAAAGAAACTTAGATATATTTCTGTTTGTGTGTGTGTGTGTGTGTGTGTGTGTGTCTGTCTGTATAGCAAACCTGGGAAATAACTGAAGCCAACTGATGAGTTTACGTAAAAAATTATCAAATAGACTCAACATAATTTGTAAATAATCTCTTACTTTGTCAACAAATTAACCTTATTTCATAATAAAATGCTTTTGTTACTATCTTGCAAACTTGTTTACTCAATAAAAAGAATTACGATATATTGTATATTTCTTTTTTGGTTTATTTTTATTTATTTATTTATTATACTTTAAGTTCTGGGATACATGTGCAGAGCGTGCAGGTTTGTTACATGGGTATCGGTGGTTTGCTGCACCCATCAACCCATCATCTATGTTTTAAGTCCCGCATGTATTAGGTATTTGTCCTAATTTTCTGCTTCCCCTTGCCCTCCACCCAGGAGAGGCTCCAGCATGTGATGTTCCCCTCCCTGTGTCCGTATATTCTCATTGTTCAACTCTCACCTATGAGTGGGAACATGTGGTGTTTGGCTTTCTGTTCTTGTGTTAGTTTGCTGAGAATGATGGTTTCCAGCTTCATCCATGTCCCTGCAAAGGACATGAATTCATTCTTTTTTGTGGCTGCATAGTATCCAGTGGTGTATACATAACACATTTTCTTTATCCCATCTATCATTGGTGGACATTTGGGTTGGTTCCAAGTCTTTGCTATTGTAAACAGTACTGCAATAAACATATGAACACATGTGTCTTTATAGTAGAATGATTTATAATAGGGTATATACCCAGTAATGGGATTGCTATATATTTCTTAAATATTCAGTATTAATATTAAACATTTTTTGTTAAAATGGCCACTCAAATGCATTGAGACTTGTCAGGTAAAAATTAATATTTGTTTTCACATAACTTTACTCATTCTGCTATAGTTTTCCTAAGAGAATGCATTCACCGGCTGGCGCAGTGGCTCACACCTGTAATCTCAGCGCTTTGGGAGCCGAAGGTCGGCAGATCATGAAGTCAGGAGATTGAGATCTTCTGGCCAACATGATGAAACCCTGTCTCTACTAAATGTACAAAACTCAGCTGGGCGTGATGGCATGTGCCTGTAGTCCCAGCTCCTCAGGAGGCTGAGGCAGGAGAATTGCTTGAACCAGGGAGTCAGAGGTTGCAGTGAGCTGAGATTGCACCCCTATTCCAGCCTGATGACAGAGTGAGACTCTGCCTCAAAAAAAAAAGGAAAAAGAAAACAAAAAAGAATGCATTTAAGTAAGTTAGAATAATTCACACAATAATAGAAGATAAAATTCATATCATACTCTTTCAGAATTGAAGACGATCTAGTCTAACTTCCCTTTCATGGGATTATAAAGTGATTCCTGGGAATTCACCTTGCGGTGGTAGAGAGGTAAGTAGATAGACCTTTATTTCCTATTTAGCTAGAAACCTAAAACAGTTCTTTTATTTTTAAAATATGTTTCAGATATTTTTCTTCTATCTATATGTACAATTTCTTATGAGCAACAAGGTTAAGGACAAGGAAAAAATGAAAACTTTCTAATCATTCAATGAACTTTAAATATTCTGAGGATATTAAACTTCAGAGATATTGAGTAATTCCTCCAACACCGCATGTTCTCAACGCATAGGTGGGTGTTGAACAATGAGAACACATGGACACAGCAGGGGACCATCACACACTCGGGTCTGTGGCGGCGGAACTAGGGGAGGGACAGTGGGGGGTGGGAAGTTGGGGAGGGATGGCATGGGGAGAAATGCCAGATATAGATGATGGGGAGGAAGGCAGCAAATCACATTGCCAGGTGTGTACCTATGCAACAATCTTGCATGTTCTTCACATGTACCCCCAAACCTAAAACGCAATAAAATACATATTTTTTAAAAATTCCTCCAAAATCAGATAGCTCATCAAAGTTTGGATTACAAAAATTTTCTACAAAGTTGAATGCCTTACACAACTTTTTAATTGACATATGCTTTAGTCTTTAGAACTATAGCCTTCATTCAATAAAGTAATCCACATATTTTTGGCTTTCTATACAAGTTTAGTGATATCAAGAACAATGAGAGGTTCCAAATCTTACCCTACTTGTAAACTAACCTGCCAGTTTGCCATAATTTCAGAGATGCTGGCAGAAGAAATAAGACTCCTTGATCAGAGACAAAAGACAGGTTGTTATTCACAGTAATAGTTATAGCAAAAGTATCAGTTCTTTTTTTTTTTTTTTTTTTTTTGAATATCCAAACCTAAATTCTCAGTGTGATAAGAAGGACAGAAAAGCAAGCACAGATTAAGGGATATATTACAGAAAAGGCCTCTGAATTAATGAAAACTGAATTTTCTTTTACAATGGGCCTATGTAACCTTTGTCCTAATCTTTATTATATTGTACAATGAGCATACTTACACTTTTCCCTGGAGAGAGTGACAATGTCTACCAAGCTGTTTGCAATATAAACATCTTTGAGAAGGTAATCTGGAAAAATAGGCATCACTACCTCCCCTCACAAGAAAATATGCCAGAGATTCATGTCTCACTGCACATGGTTGCAGTTTTATAGATAATGATTAAATAGCCTTCTTAGAATTGTTGTTATAATTCTAATTTCAAGAAATATGAAGTTATACAGACTTCTACAGTGGTGAATTCACCAAAAAAATACTTTTTTTAACATTAAAGTGATAGTTTCAATTCTTAACAATAACAGGCTTGAAGAGACAGAAAAATCCATTACATACTTTTTCTTGCTTTCATATAAATAGTTTTAATCAGCTTGATTGACTGGGTGTGGTGGCTCATGCCTTTAGTTCCAGCACTTTGGAAGATCGAGCTGGAATAGTGCTTTAGACCAGAAGTTCAAAATCAGCCTGAGCAACAGTATGAAATCCCATTTCTATTAAAAATATTAAAAACTTAGCCAGGTGCAGTGATGCATGCCTGTAGTTCCAGCTACTCAGGAGACTGAGGTGGGAGAATTATCTGAGCCCAGGAGGTCCAGGCTGCACTGCACTCCAGCTTGAATGAGTTGGGGCAGCCCTGTCTCAAAACAAAATGCAAGCAAACAAAACAAACAAAAGACAAACAAAAACCAGTTTGATTAAGGTGTACTGACACACAACAAACTGCACATACTAAAAGCATATGATGCTTTATTGCATGTATACTACTGTGAAATGGTCACCACAATCAAAATAATAAACAGATCAATTTATGGAGAATTTGATAAGCATATATTTAATTTCAATTTAATTATTCATTTTGCTTTAGGCCACATCCCTTCTTTGTTTATGATATATTTAATTTGTTTAATATAGTTAAATTTATTGCTTTATTTTCCTTTGTGGTTAATGTTCTTTTGTGGCTTTTTTTTTTTTAACAAGCTCAGGGGTACAAGTGCAGGGTTTTCTTTTACATAAATACACTTATGTCAGGGGGTTTGTTGGATGGATTAATTTATGGCCCAGGCATTAAGCCTAGTACCAGTAGTTAATTTTTCTGATCCTCTTCCTTCCCCCACCTCCAAAAGGCCCAGTGTGTATTGTTCCCCTCTATGTAACCATGTGTACTACTTATTTAGCTCCCTCTTACAAGTGAGAGAATTCAGTATTTGGTTTTCTGTACCTGCGTTAGTTTCCTAAGGATGATGGCCTCCAGCTGCATCCATGTTCTGGCAAGGGTTGTGATCTCATTCTTTTTTATGGCTGCATAGTATTCTATGGCATATATGTACAACGGTTTCCAAAGTGATTTTACAATTTTACATTTCCACAACTCTGTAGGAAAGTTCCAGTTTCTTCATTATATTATCAATGTTTGCTATGGTTAGTCTTTTTACTTCTAGTCATTCTAAAAGTGTTTCGCTTTATACCTCATTGGAATTTTAATTAAGTGTCTAAAGGGATATGTAAGTGTGTGTTTGTGTGTTCAGTTTAGGTAGAGATTTATCAATATTATTGATTTTAACAAACCAATAGCTCTTGATTTTATAGCTTTTAGATTGTTTGAGTTTATTTTTACTGATTTCCACTTTGACATTTATTACTGATCTATTATTTTCTTTCATCTATTGATTTTTGGTTTAGGATGCTTTATGTTTCTTGATTTGAAACTGAGGGCATTAATGTGAGACTTTTCTACATTTATTATACGGGCATTTAATATGTATAACTTTTTTTCATTTTTTTCTTTTAGTCATGTGGTATTTAGAGCTTTTTCGTTTTCAAATAATTGTGGATTTCATTGAGAATTTCATTTCTAATACACTTACATCATAACTGGAAAAATTTATGACATAAATGCTTTGAAATTGTTTTTGCCCTAGAATATGGTCTTTCTAAAAGTTTGATATAATTCATATTTTAGAACTTCTGTAAATAACATACCTTCTGTTATCTACCCTTTTTAAAAGATATCTTTCGCCTTCACACTGCTTTCGTACAATTTGATTATGGTGTTCCTTGTAGTTTACTCTTCATTTTTCTCATGCTGGAGAGAGCTGAAATTCTTAAATCTTATTGTGTCTAGATTTCATCACATTTGGAGACAGGGTTAAGTAATAATTTCTTCAACATTGTTCAGATTCTAACCGCTCATTTCTTCTTTCAGAGCTGCGTGTTTACTAGCTTGCTTAAAGTTGTCGCATAGCTCAATAATATCCTGTTGACTTTTGTTTTCTCTTTTTAATTTTCTTCCATCACTGTGTTTACTTTGGAGAGTTTCTACTGCCATGCCTTCACATTCACGAATGCTTTTGTTACGATGTGTGATCTGTCTTTCATCATATCCAGTGTATTTTCACTCCAGACATTGTAATTTTCAACTCTAGGAGTTTGAAAGTTTGATTTGCATTATTTCATGTCATTTCTGTTCTCCTTTTGAACACATGCAGTACAGCTAAAATAAGTCTTTTAATGTCTGTTTTCCTCCTTTAAATACTTGCTTGTTACTTTTTATTGGTTTTCAGACTGTGAAATTTACATAGTTGGGTCCTATATATATGTATTTATATAAATATTGTTGAACTCTTTTTGGAGATTCATTTGAATTCTTTGGAAATTTTTTGATCATCTGTGTTTAGCTTTTTAGATTTATTATTGGGAACTTCTTCAATATTCTAATTATTTCCCACCACTGAGGCAATAGTTTTCTGATTACAATACCAATATCTCATAAATCCCGATATTTTCTAGTTTGAATAAGAACATTAACTTATACTGGCCCTGTGTATGAGACATGCTTTGTTAAATCTGATCCTTCCCATGATTCTTTCCCTGGCCTCAAGTGGTTACCTCACACACGTGCACTAATCATTACTTACCTGAATGCTTGAGGGAACGTCCTGCAGATCTCTGCAATTCCCTTTGTGCAACTCCTCTCTCTGATCTTTTGACCTATGAACACTAATCGTGGTCTCCCTGAAGTCTCAGTTATACCTTTTCAACCTGTGCTCAGTTTACTGAGAGTTGAGAAGATTAACTCCAACATGCCCAGCAATGAATTATCTCATGTAAAATTTCATTTAAACATTAATTTACAATACACATACCTACATATTTTAATAACGCAAAATGTATAGTACATTAAAAACACAATTTTTCCCTAATATTCAAGTTATTTCAAATCATTTTGGAGTAGTTATAAACATGGTAAATACTGTCTCCACTTTAGGAAGACTTTTATCTATATAAGACATGTAATAATTTTCTTATACATATACATCTATTAAAAATGTATTTATTGGTTTTCTTGGATAATTTTATATAGTTCATAAATTTAATTATAAATGTGTCAATCTTTTGATCTTTATTAATCTCATCCTTTTCAGTAAGATATATATGTATATTGTTGTAATTAATTGCTTATTTCTAGTTTAAGTATATATATGTTAAGCATGCATATATACATATATTTGTTAAGTATATATATATGTTAAGTATACATATATGTTAAGTATACATGTATACTTAAACTAGAAATAAGCAATTAATTACAACAAATGATAAAATGCTACTCTCAGGAAAATTAAAGTTTCTTTTCAAAAGATCATTTTTCATCCCCTCTTTCAATATGAAAATTAGGCAATTTTATAGTTAGATCACCTTCTAGATCAAAACTCTCTAGTGTTTGGCCAGGCGATGTTCAGCATCTTTTACATAAACTCCCTTTCATTCCCACAGATGATTCTATACTGAAATCATTTTTTTGTTCAAACCTCAGAGTCAACTAATATATTAGAAAAGTCTTGTAAATGGTATATATTATTATTTCATAGTTCATGATAGTTCACTACAAGCATATTTGTAATCATTTAAAAACATCAAGGCCTTGAACCAAGTATGAGAAATTCCCCAAATATTCAGTACAAGATTGATGCAATGATGTATCACTTATTGAGACACTATCATGCAGCAGCTTCTCACCTTATTTACACATCATGACAGCCCTAAATCGCACATGATTTTTTTTCTGTTTTACACATGAAGAACTGCAGATTAAAAGAAAGTAAGTAGCATACTTTGATAAGCAAGCTAACAAATACATTGCAGGCATTTTAATCCAGCTGTATTTTGAATTTTGCAATTGTGTATGATTGATAATTTGAAGTTGTTTTAGGTTGATAGAAAAAAAGGTTACTGCCGTGTCATCTGTCTCTCAACTACATATTATGATACTTAAATTAATTCCTATGAAGAAATTCAATAAAAAGTACATGATAAATTTTGCTTTCTATTTTATTCTTTTATATAACTTAAGATTTTAAATATTTTATTGTTCAAAGCAGTGTGCTAAAGTATGTTAACAAATACACTATTTTTATGGTTTGCTCTATACATCTTATATTTGCCATGTATTCATTTACATGTATAATCTGGTATTTGTATAATTTGTTCTTATTTCAGCATCAGACATAAGCTATGATTCTTAAAGCAATAATAGTTAAAAATTGGCTCCAAGTTACAACAAAATAGAAAATGCAAAACTCTATGCCCTTGATCTTTAGGAAAAGTTAAAAAGGTTTGAGAATAAATCTGAATGCCAGTATCAAAGGATAAAATGTTTATATTAGTGTACGTAATCTAGTATTAAGGTAGTTCTGATTTTCTCTTTCAATACAATGTTTCTAGTTATCAGTAATTTAAACTAATTTTAATACACAGCTCTTATTAAACAAGACAAATACTTAGCATGAAAAACGGCATGGTCTTTTCATTATTTCTTTGCCAGGCCATTTATTCCGAGATGTTTATTCATTTCCAAAGCTTTCTGTTTCTTTGAAGAGCTCGGCAATGTATAGTTTGTTCTTGGTGTGACTCCAAGCTTATGCATTAAAAATGAAGATTTTAATGTAGGATATTGTGGTGTGAGTTATGTAACAAAATAGATTTTTTTTTGTACAAAGACTAATTGTACACATTTAAGAAATGTCCACTAAAGACATGAATTATTGCGTTTATGTGCAGTGATAATTTGGGATTTTATCCTGCTAAATATTCTCAGAATTGTTTATATGCTTTAGAACTCATGAGATGAAATGTTCTTACTAAAATATTCACATTGAATAGTACTAGATGATTCCATGTACCACAAAAAAATGAAAATGTGTGTTTGAAATTCATCATTACATCCCCAAGAAAAAATGCTTAGCTTATTAACTTGTTGACTTAACCCTCGGGCATACAGAGGTAGACAGTGTCCACCTGGGCATATTTAGGCCCTTGGACCAAGCCTTTATGTGCAAGTCATTACAACCTTCTCTGCTGAGGAATACGTTGTCTTCCCCGGCCCATAAGGGGACAAGTTACCAGGGCAGGAACTTCCCCGGACGTGCCCCACCTGCCTTCCCACGCGTCTCCATCCGGGGCCTTAACCGTCTCTGTTAGACTTGGGCGCCCGTGGGAAAAGGATCAGTGTCAATCACTCCAGCAGAGGTTTGAAGGACCCTTTTCATTGGCCAGCGGAGTTGGAGGAGGTGGGAATTCCTCCAAGGTTCAAAGTCCCTGTCTCCACACCCGGCCAGATTCCGGATTTGGGTCCCCTTCCAGAAGCTTCGTGGGAGTTTTCTCTGTCTCATCTCTTTTTCTCTCTCTCCCTCTGTCTAAATAAATCACTTTCTGCAAAAACTTTTTGGGTCCAGTATTTACTTGTGAGCACACTAAGCCCAGCATGGTCCCCTCTCCCATTCTTGGGTGACTGAGGGACCAAGAGCCTGGAAGAACAGCCCACCAAGGAGCAAGCTGCTCCCTGCACCCCAAAACCCGGTCACACTGTGATGATATATTAACAAAAGAAATCTATGAAAAAATAGAGGGATTAATCATAAACGGTTTGAATTCCTGATAAGATTATATGAAAAAGTACTTATATTCCTACCCAGGAATTGTTATCAACTCAAACCTTTACCTGCAGCAATTATGGAATGATGACCTTGAATGGAAGAGAGGCAGACTAGCAGAAAAGTACCTTGTATTATCTTATTTTTATTCGGAGACACTGCTCCTTAACACTTTTGACACACAGCAGCAAAAAAACAATTAGCAATAATGAAGACAAGAAGTTAGTACCTGCAGCCTCATTAAAGGAGGCTTTCTCATCAATGTAACCATGTATCATGGGAGATTTCATTGCACAAATTTAATTTTAAAAAGTTAGTTGTGGTGTTTCCCTTCTTTTTCTGATCTCTGATTCCACTCACAAAACTATTCTCTCAGGGCCTGGTGTTAGCTGTGCCTGCTAAGGGCAATTATCCAAAACCCAGCCAGCATCTAGAGCAGGACCCTGAGTTCCGAATCTCCAGGATCCCCTTCCCCATGGGCCTTGCTTATTACATTTTAAAATATCAGAATGTTCTAATTTCAATACCAGGTAGTTTTATGCTTTCTTATAAAGTTAAAACACTGAGTATGTAATTTATGGTACTGCCATTAGAAAAAGGCATAACAACACTATGTATGGTATGGTGACATTTATGAAAATAAAAAGATATGCATAAGTTATTAATGGAAACACATAGGAAAAGGACTAAAAGAACACACAACACTGAAGAAATATCCCTAAGAGAGAAGTGAAATCTAATGAGATGAAATGGATTGTTTTCCTTATAAGTATGTATTTTCATAATTAAAAAATATATCTACAATTTTAAATTAGAATATATAAAGCAAATGCTATGCAAAACAAAATGCCATAAATACAAAAGTAATTTTTAAATTTCAGTTATAAAATGTGTCTTTAAACATCAAAAACTCTTAAAATGCACCGTGCCTATTTGTACACTTAGGTATGATTGCTATTTTAAGACGTTCTCACCATATAGTGTTTTGAATGTTTATCTCTCAGATATAAGTGTAGGAAATATCATTAAACAAACCAAATTCAGTACTAATAAACTGTATTTGTTTCAGAATTGAAAAATGCTTTAATCTTTTAAAGCAAAATCAATATGAAAACTGTAAAATCAACCCAGATTCTGATGTTAAGAATATACAGCTGGAAACACTAAAAATAAAAACAATGGCCGGGAGCATTTTTGCACAATTCATTCTTCTAAGCTCCTGGCCAAGAGAAAATACTTTTTACCTTATCACTATAAACAATAAAGATCCCAGGAAAATGGAGGAATGGTATTGGGTAGATTTTAATTTTCTTTAGAGGAAGGCTTCTGGCATTCTTTTTCTTATTGTTAATTTGCAAAAACGCAATGATTATTTAAAGGAGATTTGTTTTGATTCAATTGTTTATTACTGAGTGTTACATTATTGAACTGGTCCCAGGTGTCACTTTGTTTTTGGAGTAATGAAGCTATGCAAAAATCCTTAATCAAGCCACATTGTTTATTTTCATACATGGAAGATTATATTAACAAAAGTCAACAAGCTCTATTTTAAAGTTAACCATAAAATTCTCATCTTAAATAAAATAAGCTGCTTTAAAATATATATGTATATGTATATATAGAGAGATGTATTCATCTTTACACATTAACATGTACAAAAATATATATGCATATCTTACAATTCTATATCTACATCTAAATCTGTGTTCATTTCTTTGCATGTCTTAAACAGGGGAAAAAAAACAATGGATTCAAACACAAAAAGTTACTGTTAACTGTATATAATATCAGGAATTATTAACATCCTTAAAACATAAGTACATAACATTTACTTATGTCCTGTGCAAACAGGAATTCCCTTGTTAGACTCACATTCATTTAATTAAAAATCATTGTTATATAGAGAGAGACTAGATATGTAGACTTTTTTTAAGGTCAGCTTTTATCATGTACCCTTTGGTGTGAAGAGTTTTAGACTCTATCACAAAGGTTAAAGCAGAAAGATAATTCCAATGTCCAGAGAATTATAACAAGTAAAGCCACCAAGACATGGAAAGAGAGATGAGGATATCCGAGGTTTCAAAGCATATTTCACTATTTTGAGGAGTAATCCTATTAGAAATGTTTAATATTGCCCTAAATCTTTAAGAATTATCTTCATGAAAGAAGAGAATTTCAACAGCACTATAGCTTAATTACGAGTCAATTTTGTAATCATTTTACATTGGTGCTGTCATATTTTGTTTTCACCAGAAGAGTTATAAGGGATTTTTTGCAAGAATCATTTTTATTTTAATCCAAAGAGGGAATAAGGGTAATTTAACTCAGTGCAGAGTGGACAACAATTCAAGTATTAGAAATTGCACATGAGCCTCCTCGGAAAATTTCTGTTCTCTACGCACTCCCTATTCTTACCTTTCTCTTTAGCCTTAGACCTACGTTTGATTTCGTACATAATGTGGTATAGTGGAAGGAACATATACTTTGGAGTCTGAAGGTAAGAAACTCAGTTTTATTGTTTAATAGCTGTGTGACTGCTATGGACTTGACTATGCCTCCCATACAAGTCATATGGTAAAGTCCTAACCCACAGTACCTTAGAAGGTGACTGTGTTTGGACGGAGGTTCTTTAAAAATATTTAAGGGTAGATGAGGTCATATGGGCGAGCCTGAATCTACTCTGACTGGTGTACTGATAAGAAGAGAAACATCAGGAAGGTGAAAACACACACCTTAAAGGACATGTGGGGATACAAATAAAGCAGTCAGCTCTGAGCAAGAAGAGAGTCCTCAGAGTAGCAAACCCTAATGACACCTTCATCTTGGACTTCCAACATCTAGACCGTGAGAACAAAATTTTCCAGTGATAAAGCCACCCCGTCTGATGTTTTGTTATGGCTGCATTAGCTTACTAAGAGAGCGATCTTGAAGAAGGTCATATAATACTATTGCGTTTTAATTTCCTTAGCGATTTATGAATTGTGTAGAATAATTGATTGTATTAATGAAAATGTAAAATAATCTGAAGGATGGAAATGATGCACATATTCATATATCTTAGTTCTTTCTTGTGTGTTTATGCTCTCATTTCCAACTCCAATTATTACTCGTTAAACTCATTCACACAAATTGTTCATTGTATGGAACTAAGAAAAGGCAGAGAAAGTGGAAAAAAATTTTTTTCCTATTCTGCTGGTTGTTGGTTCACTCTAATGATGGTTTCTTTTGCTGTGCAAAAGCTCTTAAGTTTAATTAGATCCCATTTGTCTATTTTGGCTTTTGTTGCCATTGCTTTTGGTGTTTTAGTCATGAAGTCCTTGCCTATGCCTATGTCCTGAATGGTATTGCCTAGGTTTTCTTCTAGGGTTTTTATGGTGCTGGGTCTTGTGTTTAAATGAAAATCAAAAATAATTAGAACAATCCTATCAATATACACTCATATGTCTAACAGTTTCCCTGTTTTTTAAAAATGAATGAAACTGTTGTGTTTGTTTGTTTTTGAGCTGGAGTCTCTCCCTTTTGCCCAGGCTGGAGTGTGGTGGCACGATCTCAGCTGACTGCGACCTCTGACTCCCGGGTTCAAGTGGTTCTCCTGCCTCAGCGCTTAACTGGGAGCACCACCACGCTCAGCTAAGTTTTGTATGTTTAGTAGAGACAGGGTTTCACCATGTTGGCCAGAATGGTCCTGGTCTCCTTACCTTGTGATCTGCCTGCCTAGGCCCTCCAAAGTGCTGGGATTACAGGCATGAGCCACCATGGCCAGCCATGAATGAAACGGTTTTTAAAGAGTTTACTATGGGCCAGATACTGTTATCATTATTTTATGATATATCTTAATTACAGTAACTCGGGTGGACTGCTCTGGCTCTCTACAAGTAACTAGTCTAAATGGTAGATGACATTATTATCTCTATTTTACCTATCAAGTTACTGAAGCACATATTAAATAGTTACCCTATATTTTCTTATGAAGTAAGTAGGAGTTTCTGGGACCTAAGCTCTTAGCTACTAGACTATGTCTAAATTTCTGATAAAGAGAATTAGATTTAGGCCCTAATCAAAGTAAAAATCAAATACTAAAAATAAATTTTTGCTAAAAAAATAATTA